CAACAACAACAACAACAACAACAACAACAACAACAACAACAACAACAGCAACATCCCGCCAGTGGCCAGACTCTTGGGAGGGGAAGCTAAGGCAACCTCGAGCATGGGTGTAATTTTTGTTCAGGTCCACGCACATGAAACATTTACGATGCGTTTTTGGCACCTCTCAGGTGAACAACTTTAGCCCGTTGGGGGTCGTGGAGATTTTCTTCGTGACGGCCATTGGCGGAGTTCTACCATATCTGATTTTGACGTTCCTTGGCCAGAATTTGCTGTGGCGCCCTTGGACTGTGGGTTTAGCCCAACGCTTTGGCTTGAGAGAGCGGACGCATGCAGAGACATCCCCGATGGATTATTGTGGATCCTTGTTTTCTCGCAAAGAATGGCGCTCAAGCGTTGCAGGCTTTATCCAGACTGGCAGATCAATTTTGGTCAGGCAGGAAGGCAATGTACTTTGTACATGGTGGGGTGAAACCACCCACGGCGAAGATATGGACTTTCGGACCTGGAGCAGCCACGTCCTGGTTTTGCTTAAAGTAATTCGAACTATTTTTGGAGTAAATGGTGTCTTTTTCATCTGTTTCCCGGAACTTGAACTGGGTGAATCCCTTTCGGAATATGTGTTTCCCTGTTCCTTAAGCAAATCCAAGAGAAGCAACCATGTTCTTGGGGTGAACGATGTTGGAAGGTCCTGCCGTTGACGATCCAACACCTTGCAGACGACCCTTGATCTCAGCCTTTGGGTCGGAGTAATCCAACATAGCCCAACCTCACTGTTAAGGGTCTCTCCAAATCCATTTGACATCACTCAACTTTGGATGGCTGTTTGTTGATTCGGAGGAAGCAAATCCGAGCATTTTCCGAATCATTTGGTTGGTGTTGACCACCAATTCCTGGCCTTTGGGTGAAATCTTCTGCAATCCAAAATACCATTTGACCCACCTTTGTTTGCATGGCGTGGTACGGGCCCTTGGCTACATCCCTCTGCTCAGCCGGGGCATTGCAACGAAGAACCTGGCGCACCTGCTGCTCTGCTCCAAGACATTGTTCTACCACCCTTTGTTTGTATTTGCCAGCATCTTGGACTCAACGAGGCTGCTGTGATGCCTTTTTGTTTGATGCTGTTTTGTTCAAGTGTCGTTTCGCTGGGAACTGAGAACCCGGCCCAAAATGGCAAAGGCCTCATAATCGTATCCAACTAAGGAGAAAAGAAACAGTTCTATAGTTTAAAGCCTCTGCAACTTCTAGAGAACCAAAGGAACTAATACATGACGTTCTTATCAGCGCTTAGCAGGGGTATGGTTTGCAAAAGCCGAATAGCTCAGAACAATTTGGCATCAATGGCAATGCAACACTAGTGTAGCAGACCCTTCAAAGTGACCCTTTGATATGTGGGGCTTCGATATAGCATTTGGGACCCTCATATATATATATATATCAAAGGGTCACTTAGGCCAACTGACATGCGATAAAGAGGGTTAAGTGACCCTTCGATATGTGTTTGCCCAAGTGACCTCTAAATGTGTCCACTTTGAAGTGCCTGGTACAGCTTAAACAGCCGTTGTTAAATTGCACACTTCTATAGTCAAAAGCTTTGTTTTGCGATTCGATGCATATTTGTTGACTAGCCATTGCCTTTTTAAAGGGCAAGAGATTGTGCCGAACTGAGCCAGAACCCTCGACCACCGTTGCTTGACAACCGGTCACGAGGCGGGAATTTCCGGGTATCGGACGTCGTGACCTCTACAGGTTTGCATTGGCCATTTGGCGTGATGAAACGATGCGCTTGGACTTTTTGCTTCGGGATCAGCTCCAGGCGCAACGCTCCTTGGCGAATTGGATCGGAGGCCTGGCTTGTGTGGTAAATATTGAATTCTGCTCACCATGATGTACGGTTTTGATGGCTACTTTGATACTCCACAACATCATCCACCTCATTGGGGCTACACCACTCCCCAGGCGTTAGTAAAGTGAACATGTCCATTGGAATCCGAAAAGTCGAAAAGTCAAAAAGCTGAGTTCGGTTTTTCGGGCGCATTCGAAAAGTCAAAAAATGAAAATAAAATCCGAAACTTTGAAAAGTAGGACGTCCTCTACTTCCAGGGTCGAAAGTTGTAAAATCCAAAAACTCCAAAAAGTCTAAAAGTGCAAACGGATGTAGAATTTATAAGGAAAGTTAAGTTGGAACAAATACAATCTAAATATTATAGAAGCCTGCGATGAACACCCAAACGCCGCAACCTACATTGGGTTCTAGACATCCAGCACGAAACTCTGAGCCATCCAAAAAGTTATAGTTCCAGAAAAACAACTATAACTCCCCAGCACGAAAGCCTGAGCCATGAAAAAAGGTTATAGTTCCCCAAAAGACAGCACGAAAGCCGGAGACATCAAACAAAGTTAACTGTTATAGTTCCTTAAAGAAAGGAACTATAACTATATGATTCGTTTTTGAGAAAACATTCATAGCAGAAATCAAGCAAAAAATCCTTCGAATGGATACTGTTTGCTTGATTTCTGTCATGGATGTGTCAAGTTTGCATGCCAGAAATGAAACAAAAAGTATCCATTCGAAGGACATTTCTCTGGATTTCTGTAATGACAATTTTCCGAGAACATCATAAGTCATAGGTGTTTTTGAACTAAACGTTATTCATGGCTCGGGCTTTCGTGTCGGGCCGTGTTGGGGAGTTATAGCTCTTTTTTGGAACTATTTTGTCTTGGCTCGGGCTTTCGTGCTGAGGACTTATACTACCTTTTTCTGGAACTGTAACTTGCTTGATGGCTCAGGCTTTGGTGGTGGGGAGTTATAGCTATTGTTTTTGAAACTATAACCTTGTTTGATGGCTCAGACTTTCGTGTCGGCAAGTTAAGCCTTTTTTGAGCTCGGGCTTTTGTGCTGGGGGGTTATTATGTTTGGAACTTATATATAGTTTTCTTAATGGCTCCGACTTTCGTTCTGGAGAGTTATAGCTCCTTTTTGGAACTACAACTTTTCTTGGCTCGGGCTTTCGTGTTGGGGAGTTATAGTTATTTGTTTGGAACAATACTGTGTTTTTGGTCTCACGGCCATACGGCCCTGGGAGGCGTTTAGTGCTTTCTTTTAATGTTGACTGTGTCTTCAAAATTGTTTACCAACGTGTTTATGTTCACTCGCATGGGGGGGTGGGAGGGGGGGCAGTACGTTCGTTCGTTGGTTTGTCGAAGAAGATGATCTTTGGCACCCAGCAGCTTGATCAGCTGTGGTCCTGGATGAAGAAGTTCATCTCGCCGCAAAGCGAGAACCGATTACCAGCTGATATACCGCCACAAAGAGCGAAATCCTTGAAAGCTGTAAAGAAACGATCCGAGTACACTCTTTTTGGGAATGTCACAACACCCCCGAAAGGACGTGAAACCTTTCTCTTGGAGTCAATTTTTTTTGGAATAGTTCCTTTTTTTCAATCTATGTTCTTTTGAGGTTTGGATTTTCATATTCTGGGGAGTTGGCTCTGTTTTTGTGAGCTGTTATTTCATGACTCGGACTTTCGTGCTGGGAAGTTACAGTTCTTTTGGCTGGAACTATAGCGTTTTCATGGCTGGGGCTTTTGTGTTGGGGAGTTGTAGTTTTGGGGAACTAGCCTTGTGTTGGAACCGTAACTTGTTGGCAATTTATTCATCTTTACTTTTTGGAACTATAAGTTTTTTGAGGTTCAGATGTTCAATCAATGATTGAGATTGCTATGCTGCTACTCTGTCCGTGTTGAGCCTTTTGCTGTGCGCGGGTAGTTTGGCCACAAAAGGACCACACTGGATCCAGAGTCAGCCCTGGTGACACGGTATTGGTTTAGAATTGTTTGAATCATTATGAATACTGCTTCATGTGAACTACCCAAACCTGTGAAATTTGGCACAAAAACCTTGCAAAAGCTTTGTTTCACGTATAGGGACGATCTGTTTCAACACAGGCAGCGGCCATTTGAATCAAAGAATGTGAAACACCGAAAAGTAAAAAAGCTGATGTCGTCGCTTCTCGGGTGCACTTGAAAAGTCCAAAAATACGAGAAATCAAAAAAGTCGAAACGTAAGACGGTTTCCACTTCCAGAACGGACCTTTTGAAAAAAACACACACATGAACATCCGAAAAGGCGAAAAATTCAAAAATCGAAAAATCAAAAACGATAAACACAAAAGCGCACCGAAAAATCAACAGGTTGAAGAACAAACAATACGTCGAAAAACATTTTTGTTTCTCCCGCCCTGGGATTGTTTCTCGTACATGTTCGTTTCGGTTGCGGGGATAGCGGTTTACTAATACTAGTTTAGCCCGTGGGTGTTTGGTGCAAGCTCATGATGACGGCGCCCTGACCTGGCCCAGGACGAAAACTGAAAGTGGAGAATGAGAAGAGTGAAGATCTTTTGAAGAGCATGCTGCCACAGGTGCCCCCTATCGCACCCTTTCTTTGCGCCATGCCTTAGCTAGCACCAATCTTGGGAGAAGATTACATCCTCGTCAAGAAACAGATGTTTTGGAACCATGTTTTCAGGTTGGTCAATAGCTGGATGATCTTCTGATCATTGAATTGACTTGCAGGTGTTTTCAAGATCTCTTCATTTTGGCTTAGTGGTTGAGTCCTTTGGAATTCCTTTGGGCTCCACGCATCAGGGTGTTCACCCCTACCTAGACCTCAAGATCATCTATACAGGCATATACAGACCCATTTTGTGATCGACCCATGTGCGAGGCCATCATTGATTCCCTGAAGCGTCATGAGCCAGTTGAGTGTCAAGACTTTCAGAACGTCACGGCCGCTCGATTGCAGAGTCGAAAAATGCTGCAAACCGGGTAACCAAGTAACTTGGTTCAGAGTCCTCATATCGCAAGCCGCCGTGATCGCCCTGCCTTTGCGTCCTTTTCCAACGAAACGGGGATCTTCCGGGCGCTAACCATTCTTGGGGCATGGGTCACGCCGCTTGAATTTCGGCCCAGGTTATTTTTGTGCAAGTGTGCGACTTCTCAGTGATGTGTTCAGTATTGCCAGCTACCACGATTGTTCAATTGCTGGACAAGGCGAGGTGTTGTGGAGCCGCACGGGCAAAGCCGGGAGCCATTTAAAGAAGGGGTGCATGAGCTTTAATGTCTCGTTCTTTTCCAACACGACTGCACTTGTTTTTTTTCAAAAGATCCTCGTGACATAGGCAATCATGCAGAATCATACATCTCGTATATAGATGATGGACGCAAGAAAACCATACAAAACCTAGCATGGATGCGACTCGATCCTTGTTCGCCCTGCCTTTAAGCCGAAAATTGGCAGGTGTTTCAAGAGCTGGATCGGCTGAGTGATCTGTTGAAGGTGCACAAGGCACAGTTTGGACCGGACTCCGTTGGCAGTGGGACAGCCTTCTTGTAGCGCAACCAAACGTGGTGGAGGGGTTGCGTGGTTTGGATCCTGATCAGGTGGATGTTCAGGCAGGACACCACGTAAGGTACTAGGTCATCATTATCATGGCTTTTTGTCAGTATAAGACTGCTGACGTGCAACTATACTTAAGTGCTTCTAGCATCATGCGCGCGTCAGCCTCTTGGGTTTGGGATATTATATACCTGAGAATCCCGAGAGTCCCATTGACTCAATAACCAAACGGAGAGTTGTAAGTTGTAGGTAGATTGGCTGAGTGTGGCTGTTGGCAAAAACTTGGTGGATTGCACGCTGGAAGGTGACCAGATCACTAGACAGGCTCATGCACGCTCATGCATGAGCATGCACGTCTCCTGTGCTTTGTCATGTTGTCCTTCGGCCCAGCGTGGACGGAGGTAGAGACCGTTGGAGATGTCTATATGGCTGTCTCCGGATGCCCACATGAGATCGTGGCTTGGTGGCATGCCCCACGGGAGATTGTTACATTCGCATCCTTTGTTTGGCGTTGCAAGAGGGATAGGCTGCGTGAAACCCCAGCTTCTCCCTCAGAATCCTGCGGTTGATTCTGCATTTTTTTTGGCGGCTTTGGTCTCTGGGACGCCACTCAATCAAGCCTCTCAGAGGGTCTTTTCACGGTGATCCTCTTAGCCTGTTCGCAACGTTTGCTGAGGCCAATCATGCAGATGTTGCCGCCCACTTTGCCATTGCAGCCCAGTCAAGCATCCTCAGGCATTGGTTCATGGTTTCCAGCACCGGTCGGCCATGAAAAGGGTGCTGGGACAAGGCAACACCCAAAATGCCAAGGCCACGAAGAGTTGCAAGTTAGATCACTGAGGGTGAGAGAATCCCATGCAGATCTTCCAAATAAAATCAAATAAGATAAACAAGCAACACCAACGTCATTGGTCAAATCAAAAAGTGTCCATTGGAAAGTTCAGGTCTCGGTGTGTACGGAGCCAAAAAATCAGTTCGAAAGAAGAACCACTCCTGTGAAGCGATCGCGGTCGCAGGATGAGAGCTTCTGATGTGATCTTGCCGCAGGGTGTAAAGGGCCGCCGGCTCTCCGCTGTATTGGGCGAAAAGAGTCTGGATGCTTGGCGCAAAATACACCAGGGCCCGGGCGCAAAATCAAAGATCCAGCTAAGAACATGTTCACATGCATAAACCATCATAAACCCGTGGGTACACCTGACTGCTGGGGATTGCCAGAAATCTTGATGTTCAATAGGGCTTTCGTAGTGGCTTTCGCCTACCACTGAGGAACTGAAGAAGGCGTTATACTCGTCGAATGATTATACAATCCCTTGACACCAGAACTTAAGGGAGAAGCGGACAGGGACGGGATCCGCAGTGCTCCAGGCCAAATGACCCATTAGATAAACCTCTCAATGTTCCACCGCACTGATGGCTATCACTGGTCACTACTATTAGCAGTTATAGTGATAGTCACCGGCACAAGAATCTGTTGCAGTGTTATTCCATTCTCAGACGCAGAACCAAGGAACTGAGGATTCGCATCGGCATGAACAGTGGAAGGATTCGAGCAGGCATGTTCGTGCATCACTAGACTATGTGGAATTCTTGTGATTTCGGAGTCCAGAAGGCAGAACCAACAAAACCTCGCTGGTAGTGTCAAATGCATGAGAGCTGCCCAGGCCGATACTCTGAAGATAAATGAATTCATGAAGTTTCGCATGGATCCTGAAAATGGGTGAAGGTACTGATTGTGAATTGTGAAGAGCAAATCCCTGGTTTCCGTGGCAAACCTCTTTAAATTCCAGCCCGGATACCTCAGGTTTCAATTTGGAGCCTGCAAATTGATTCTATGCAGGTTTTGGACACCCCCCGAGTATAGACATGTATATAATGGAGATGGATAGTCAACTCTTGGAGAACTCATGTCAAAACCAGCTTGAAAATTGATGAAGTTGCCAAAAGCCCCGGGTTGTTCATGGCAATGCCCCCAGATGACTGGACTCCGGACGACTGGGACCGCTATGGACGGCGATGGGCGGCTCATCGGCATTGGACGGAGCTCGGTCCACAGGTGTGGTGGGTCTGGACAAACCGCGCTTCAAGCTCTTCGGTGACACGGTCAACACGGCCAGTCGTATGGAGAGCACATCGGAGCCAGGACCGTGACCGATCTTGAGATGTCTATGGTTCTTTTCTTTTAAGGTCTGATGGTCTTGGGATAGGAGCTGCTTGAGAAAGTCTTGGTTGTTTTGGGAGTTGTTTGCAGGGTGTCACATCAAAAGGAACCGAATGAAACATGAGAAAAAGGAGACTGGGCATTAATCTCGACGTTGCGGCAGCTTTATGCCTTGTGGAATGACTAAAGTTACTCAAGTGTCTCGTACAAGGTGGTTCCTGGCCTCGCCGATTTTGGCACGCGGAATCTGCCCGGTACAGCCATGGTAGCCCTGAGCAGTCCATGCCATACAAAGTCTGTGGGCAACCTTGGTCGGTGGCTCGAGTAAATCTACGAACAGTAGTCAACATCTTGAGTCGGGAAACCCTACGGTTTTGCCCTGACAAACTACCCCTTCCAGGAACCGTTTGCGAATCAGCTGGTTAGAATTGGTTACCGGATCCTAGCAACCATCAGGAGCCCAAGAGTTTTCACATGGTTTAACATGTTTTAACCTGTTGTATAGGCATTATGAACTCGCTGTTCTTTGCAGGCTCCTGTCCTTTTTGGCTGTTCAGGATGCACTCAGATCTCCGAGGCTACAAAGGCTATCCTCGGCCCAGAGTTCAACGCTGAGGCACGACAAGCCGGTCTTTCATCTGGATTTTATTTATAGGGGAATTCTTATTGTCCATTATTTTCCCAAACTGGGTGTATCCCTTTCTGAGGAGTATATGTGTGTGTTTTCCCCCCGGTTCCTTAAGCAAATCCAATTTCATCATGACTCAGAGAAGAGGCATTGGTTGATAGGGATATTTGGGGGCATTCGGATGGTAGGAAATCATCGACAATTTATAAGCAAGAAAAGCACAAAGAGGAGCTAACTACCAATACAGCACACTGACCAAGGAGGAAAAGGCATGATTTAAGAAGAGCACCTACTAAAAGACTGCCAGTGTCTACTGGGTCCACTAGGCAAGACTAGGAGCATTGTTTGTTGATGACACCTAAAATTAAAGGATACTTAGTTGTTGCTGTTTGTTTGCTTTGATTTGGCTGTCACGCAGTTGGAGCTGGAGTTCAACCCTCGGCTTGCAAACAATTGGACAACACTTGAAAAGAACAGAGCAATGGACACAAGTGGAACATATGGTATTGGGCCGGGTCAATACTTGTTTGCCCTGGTTTGATCAAGTCAACCCGTTATGTTCTTTTTGAGTAGAATTATATATGTCGATGAACTTTCAGAGATGCAAGAATGTCAGAAGGCTGTAGTATCACAGCAAAAAGGTACATCCTCCCAACATCCAACACATACAATGTAGCGCAGAGGACAGAATTTCTCACAGATTCCAACATACCAGCTGCATTCTGCAATACTGTAAAAACAACAACACTCTTTGCTCAAAGGGGGGTTTGTAAAGATGATTTTGTTTCTTTTACCTGTTTGGGAGCCACAGACATCGAAATCACGATCCAAGACCCACCTGTTCGGACGGATGTGCCTAAAGTTCAGCTCGTTGAAAAACCGATGTTTTCGACTGCCAAATTTGAAGCTCAAGGCTGACACACCCAACAAGTCTTTCCAAACTGTTTAACGGATCTTGTTTTGGAAGACGTGTACTGAAGGGTCTGTAAGGCGCTCTTTGTCTGACTGGGCAGGAGCGTGGTTTGGTGGAGGTGAAAGGAAAAGGTGCGCTCAGGACCGAATTTGAGAGATCTGTCTTTGTCCAGTTCTTGAAGCTATCTCAAATATGAGGCGAGTTGGTACTAGCTAGCCTCAAGTATGTGAATCCAACTCATGGCTCGGAGAGCCCAAGAAGCGAGAAGCCCTCCCTGAGCTAGCACAACACTGGGTTCAACCATGAGCAAGTTGAGGTGGCCATTGCTAGTAGGTTGGAGGCCATTGCCCTGTCACGTAGAAAGACTCACGATGGATCACCTAATTGAATGATGCCCCTGCATATCGAAAGGCGGTGGCACGGTCAGCAGCGCTGACTGCCCACAATGTCACATTCTTGCCCAACAGATCACAATAAGATCACACAAGAGCGTGTGAAAGAAAAACACAACAATCTTGAATTCGCAGCACAGTTGTTATATCTATGAATTACGTGATAAAAAAAAAAAACCTCGCAAAATCCCTCTATAGGGCCAAAGATATGTTGAGTATGCTTTTACCAAATCAATCCTGCTGCGCCTTTGGACGGATGCAGAGTTTTCTCGATGCCTTTTCGTCACCGGTCCTCCAAGACCCGTGTTCCATGGCACCTGGTTCTATGCGGTTTGAGTTGTGTTTCAAGAAACATGATTGTGCTCACTGGACTCAGACAAGGACAACGCAACACATCCAACTGGTGGAACATTTAGGAACCAAAGCCATGGACGGTCACATCACCCGCAGTTCTGATCAATGGCCACAGGAAGGACTGATTGAACCCCTCAAAACCAATGGGTCAATGCTTGGTGCCTGTTCCCATATCTCGAAGCAGACAGCAAGTCATGCCATTCGTTCCATCCTCTTCGGCCGCAGGACCTACTACCTCCGCAGCTACAATGTCATGGAGACTGATGATTCGAAAGTGCAGGACTGCCTTCGAAGGTAGTTCAAACATGCTATCAAGAACATCTGGCTTTCCCAGACCAACTGTTCGAGGCGACTGTGACAACATACTAAACTTGTGTACTACTATTCCTCTTTGCTTCAGCTGAAAAGGCAAGAGAATTCTGCCAGAAAAGATCCGGGTCACCCCCCAGCTCGTCGCCTCCGGGAGTGATCCGCTTCGACCCCTCGAGGAGTCCGTGACCATCAAAGTGGTTCACCAGAAGGCGACGTTTTGGAGCGGGTCAAACTTCGCGGTTGCCATCGAAAAGATCAGATTTGTCCCAGCCTGACAGCAAGAGACCCTGAATTCCGATTGGTTTTCAACTGCCCTCACTATGCAAATCTTAAGATGTAAAGAATTGGTGGCTGTCACGGCATTGGAGCACGTCTAAGCATTGAGAACCACTCAGCGGAAGATGCTCGAGTCTTGATTCAGTCCAGTGCCCTGGTACGTTGAGACACCCACCTGCAGGTTCAGGTCACGCTTGGCTTTTGCATCTTCCATGTATTGGAATGTGTGATTCATCATGACCTCAAGCTAGATGACCCCTGCTCTCTCTCTCTCTCTCCCTAGGATTCTATATATAGTATGTATATATATAATATAATATACATTGTCAATAATTCTACGCAAAATAATACTATGTGTTTAAATAACTTTATACAATACTATGTGCCCTTATCCCGCAGGAGACTGCTTTCTTCGGTTACCCTGTGTCGTCACGAGCGGCCTCAGGGAGAACGAACGCGCTCTAAAGAGTTGCTGGAGAATGTCCCCCAATCTGCTCCAGGCACGGGAGACATCAGAGGAGCCTTCTCGAAACATCATGGAGACAGACTCATCAGACTCAATTCGGGCGATGCGTTTTTTCCGGAATTGGGTGAATCCCGTTCTGGGGATGTTTTTGTTCCCGTTCCTGGAACAAATCCGTTTCTTTGCGGCCAGAAACCGCCCCCGGAAGAGGTGCTTGTTGACTCATGTTAAACATTTTGGGAACCACCAGGTCACTCAGATGCATTGGCCGGGCCGAACGGCGGCTGACCAGGCAACCACTTGCTACGGCGAGCAGCTGGCAACGCGCTGAAGGAACTCGTCTCAGCGGTCCCTGCCCAGGACAGCAAGATCATCAAGTCGGTCGGGGTGGCGCGTTTTGAATGAAATGTAGCAAAACTGAATTTCATAGACCTTCATTAGTAACCTTAGTGTGTCTTGGACATGATCATCTGGACCATCCTGGTGCATGGTGGTGCAGAATTTGGTGTGTAAAGGTACCTATAGAGGGTATCAGCAAGTTCCCAGAATCGCCTCGTGGCCCGTGTTGGGTCGAGTCTATTCGAATCAGTGATGTATGTCACTGCCAGCTTCAGAACAACTATTCGACATGGATTGCAGCAGTAAGGATGTTGGTCCCCCAAATGAGAGCATCGCTATGCAGCAGGTGTTCTCCTGACCTTTTGGAGTGACTACCCCAACTTATATTCATCAATTCTCCGCGATAAAACATGACACCAGTATGTCATGTTGAACCCATGGCATGTCTTTTCTTCATCCGTCTTCCAGACCAAGTGCCACATGTTGCACCGTGGAGAGTGCTTGGATCACTTGCCAAATCCCACGTCCAAATGATATGATGTGACCCTCTTCCAACAGCCAAAACAATCAAAAACCTGGTCTTAACATGTTCTTAATGTGTTCTTCAATGTTCTGGACCAAGGTTCTCACCGGTGGTACGTTAAGGTATATATATAATATTGCATGGTTCTCTTGGCTCCTGGTTGTTGGTGGCGAGCACCATTGGGAGTCAAACTGGGTTATTGTATATAGTTTTGCTTGTGTCCATCTCTATCCGGAGTGCCGCTTTAATAATCGGAAAATGTGTTGATGTCTTTTGACATGTTTGACAATTTAGCAAATCTCGACTTGATCGGTCATGAAGCTCCCACCAACAAAATATGTACAGTAACAAGAATGAGACCGATCTGCATGGCAAGAGAACAATCCATAGAAACTCACAACATAAGGCAGTTCTATGATGTTCTATGGCAGGGGAGCACTGCGGTTGTTCTGCATGAGGAGTTCCAGATTCGCAGCAAATCCACAGGGACTGGTCACCTCTTCGAACACTCTTCGTGGCCTCTCGGCAGACGGACTCACCTTTTCGCAGCGATCCGGTGGGTCGATGGTCCCGGATGATCGGTTGGGCCGATGCTTCGCATACGCAAGATTGTCATATAAGTTTTTGATGGGCGTGACTTACGAATAGTATGCTATGCCCATGTAGGTCATACCCAGATGCGAATTATCATGAGCTTTCATGTCGCATCTGCGCGTGCTCGACGGACCCTTCTGACGGAGCGCCCACCCTACGGAGCGAAGGAAAGACTGGGTGGATATGAAGCTCCTGCTGGTCTCGAGCAGCTCCAAGCGGCCAGATATGTTGGCGCGGATCGAGGCCGACAAAGTGGAGTACAAGCGAGTCACCCTGGACGCCCGGAAGGGGAAGAGGAGTCACCCGAGACAGAGAGATGTTTGACTTTGGGTTGTGGAGTGTGAAAGGCCACGAACGCTAAAATGAGCAGATAATGTGGATGGACTCTTGATTAATAAATCCCTCCCACAATATGTTTTCTAATTTGATAATCCAACTGGGAGATTGGGGGTTCTTAATGAAGCTTCTAGATTAGAACAGGAGAGGTCGGAGAGGTCATCCTTTTCATAAACCGCTCAAGGGATCGCCCAAACGTGTCCTAAGGATCGCCGCATCTTCTTCTCACGGACCTTGATCATCGGATGGCACCTGATGTTGGCCTTCACGGCGTTGCTGGATTTTGCCTTCCAGATCCCCTACAGCCAGCGGGCAAATCAAGACTCCAGAGTCTTGTTGTCGGCACTTTTGCTGTGGCAGGTTTGCTAGGTTGCTACATTCAACTTCTCTAATTATACATTAATATATATATATATATTATATATATACACATACATACACGATTGCCAACAGCTCATAGGCGGCTTGAGACACCACCAGTCCGGGGCCTAAATCCAAAGACTTCACTGAAGACTTGACATCAGGAGAGTCCACAGCTTGGGGAGAAGACATCTGAGCGTGTTTTTTTTGTAAATCTGACATTGAAAAGGATCCCAATTGCTGCAACCCTGCTCCTTCAAAGGCTCCTGCTTCTTCTGAAAGTGGCTATAAGCTTTCTAGTGTTTTGTGACCATGCGTTGCCACATCTCAGGGGGAGACACGGGTGTCCCCAAAGATAAGGCCAGCTATGATGGTTCAGCCGTCAAAGCACGCCATTAGTGAGTACTGAGATGATGGGGATACCCTAGCCTTCCAAGACTATGTTTAAAATGTTGACCTGGTTTTGTAGTGTAAGGTCGTTAGTATAACAATGGTTGTTCGATAAAGGCTATTTTATTATTAACATCAATGGTGGTTGGAATCCCAGTTGACAGGCAATCGTGCATGAACCCTGAACATTAAAAAAACAACATGCACCACAGAGCGACCGAAGCAATTTGAGCTCAAAACTCAAGATGTTAATGACTTTGACTTCATGGCCGGTGGCAAATCCCGTTGGCGTTTTGCCACCATCTCACTGGCGAGCAGTCTCCCTTTGGCTGATGCTGCACTCTCCATTTCGTCAGGGTATGAAGCCTTTTTGACTCAGATCCGGAATCGCATTTGGGTGGTGGTTTGGAGTAGTTTTGTTTTTTAATCCCTACATATTTCAGAATAACACCTATACAGTAATTGTCTCACTTGAATATTTGGGGATGGTTGGACCAACCAGGCATTGTTTGCGCAGAGGATGACGTTCTTGAAGCTTCAATGGAGCCCTGCGACTCCATGAAGGATGGGCCCTTCTGTCGAGGCCTGCCTGAAATGGGCATGGCCAGGCATAGGCCATTCACCTTGGATAGCACCGTGCCCCAGCATCTCTTTGGAGATCCCCACCAAAAGCGTGAGGCTGATCCAGCCAGAGAACAGGCGGTGCAGGCGACAATGCAGGCCACCAATGTGCTGAATCGCTTCTTGGAGCATTTCTCCAAACTCAAAGACACGCGCTTCTGGGTGATGGTTTCAGAATGTTTCAGATAGAAATATAGAAAAAAAACACATACATTATAATCATTATATATATACTTTATATGTTCAATTTTAAACCTGTGCTTGATATATCTCACCAATGTTGTTTTTTTTCAGATTTTTCAAGTATATAAGTTGAAATCACCAACAAGGCTTGATGTCCGTGGCTGTGGAAGGCCGATTGGACTTCCAGCGCTTGGGCTGGGAGGGGATCCCGGTCGCGCGGAGCTTCTCAGCGGGTCTACCGCCTCATGTGGTTCCCTGGTGTGGCGGAATTCGGAATTAGGGTGTATGTTTGATTTTCTTAGTTGTCCCAAATTGGGTGTATCACCAGTTTTCTGGTCAAGAATCGGTTATTTTGGTTCCCCGGCTTCATCGGCAAATCCAAGGTTCTCACCTGGGAAGGTCCTTGGCAAGTGGAGCCCTTCGTGGAGCCTCCCACTGACTCGCTGAACCAAATCCGGAGGGCGACGAAGCGGTCAGCGAAGCGTCGCCCCAGAGCGGCCGTGCGGCTGAATGGTGTGATAGGCGATGCGTCGCGAGCGAACGAGGGGTTTAGGGAAGAGAACGAGTGGTTTAGGGCATCGAACCAAAGGTTGGCATCAGCAATTAACCCCTGACTCGACCCATCCCTCATCCAGTTCGCCCTTGAACATCACTCCCTCACCAGGTGCCCTGCGCTTCTCAAGGCCGGTGGTGGTGCGGAGCCTCCAGCTGCGGCCATCCGGCGCGGATGCGTCGCACTTCGAGGTGCGTGGGCGCTTGGCAGGTGCAGAGGTGTGGCGGAGGGCCTATGAAAGGCGGAGCTGTGGCATTGGTGAGCTGGTCTTGGGAAGGTGGGAAGGGATGGGCGAAGTCCTTTGAAAAGAATGTGTTACAGAGTGTCACATGTTATCAACTGTGGTCCTTTGTCTCTAGGGCTCTAGGGGTTCGAAGCATCTGCACAATTGGATGTGGATGAAGTGGGGAGGATAGGGGCCTGGAAGATGAAGGAGGGTTGCTATAGACATCAAACGAAACATGGGTGAAGAGCACCCAAGATGTTGAATTTCAGGGACAGTGGCTTGAGAAGGTAAAAGGGAAAGTGGAGTAAAGCCAGGGGTCCGAGGAGTCTTCTTTGAGATAGACCCGCTTTAGTTTTTAGTGGTCAGTCTTCGTTCCGTTTGTTATCGACTCTGCCGCAGTTTGTCAGGTGGGAAGGTGATGGTCAATACTACTACGCACGAATTCTCGCATCACATGCGCAAGCTGCCACAGTGCTATGGATTGACAGAGACCCGTCGCACCGTTTAGTGAGCTGGGAGCATTTGGTCACGCCTGAGGGTGCAGCGTGCAAAGCTCAGCAAAAGGCTACGCTGGGGCTGGGGCAAGAAGAGTGGCTTGATATGGCAAGGCGGACGAAGGCCTGTATTACGGCAAGGTTACACTTTTTGATTTTTGTTGATCTTTGGTCCTCCTCAAGGTAAAGAAATTCATTGAACATTCAGTGCACCAGAGCGGTGGGGTCGGACAGGGTCGGACCTCCAGGTCCGTTCTTCCACTTCTTTCACTGTTGAGTTACTGGAGTTCATCCAAGTTTGAGTGTTCATAAGTCCGAGGTTTTCCACCCACATGTGCAGACAGGCATTTATATCCCAAGAAATACTCTGCGGTCGATGTCAGGCAGTCGATGAGCTTGCTTTCATTTCGCCATCAACATCTGTCCACTGGATCCTGGGAGAGCTGCATGTCTCCGCTGCCCGGTGGGCACCCGATGATGTTGGAGATGAGAGCGTCCGAATGCCCCCAGAGACCGGGTCCCGCGTGGTGCAAGTGCTGCCGGGGCCACACGCCTCGATTGAAGAGGCTTCACAGTCAGACGCTTGCTTTCCAAAAGATAGGACGGACATGGACGGACCTCTCCAGGAGCCTCCAAAAGCCTCCCCAGAAATTCAGAAGCGCTTCTGGTGCTTCTGCCATTTTCCACCCTGCCATCCGGCTCCCCTAATGGTTGGTCAACGAAACCAAGACCGGTCGCTCAGGCTGGTCCATCAAACAAAATGTTGTTGGAGTTGCTCGAACAAACCTGCGGTGAACATGTCCACCACAAGCTGTAAAGAAGCACGAAAACATCATTGTTTTCATCAGCAGGGTGTTAGGAATATGGGTATATAGGGGGTATGCAAATGCCGTGGTTTCTTCAAGTTGGGGTGTAGAAGCCCTGAGAACGGATCGACTGTTTTTTGTTTGCTCGATGTGCTGAACTCAATTCAAGAAGTCGAAAAGGGGTTGGGGCATGTTTCAGCATGTGTCAGCCTTGTACAGCCATTTGCCTACCATTTGACCTCTAATTCAGAAATAATGTTGGGCAGACAGAGCCCGGGAGCGGGGTGGACGGAAGTTCACCAACAGAAAATGTATGTTGGAAGCAAGCGGACATAAAGTTGGAATGAAAACATGAGTCTATAAAAGATAGTCTAAGTTTGCACATGTTTGAGCTGCATTTACATGTTTGTTTGCATGTTGCCATTGGAACACTGTTGATGTGCGTGCAACAATGCACAGGAACGTTAAGTTGCAGAGCTGTTTCTTTGCTACTTCTTGTGTTATTGTTGACCAGAGTAGCTCTCTGTGTAAAGTCATTCAAGGTATTTGTGTTTTGGCGATGTTTAGATTAGATGCTGTTATTTGGTAATCCGTCCTTATCCAACACACATCTTGGTATTCTACGATCGTTGACTCTGTTGGTCAAGGGATCATGTTGAGTCTGACGGATCGTGTTCTCAGTCCATCCGTCACCGCAATGTGAGGCGCTCTTTTACAATGCCGATGACATGTTGGAACGGGGTCTTCAGCTCAAGAGCTGGGTTCGAGGGCGCTCAAGCCCCGAACCTCGCTCAGAACCTCGCAAAGGTTCCCAGAAACTGCAGATGAGCGCATTTCGCTCAGAAGCTTGGTCAGAGATCAGAAGCCTGAAATTGGGGAGTGAGTGGGCTTTACCTTCACTGGAATTCTGGAATCCGAGTTATCCTTGCTGGCTGATTTGTTTGCCGAGTTGTTGGTGTAGAATCAAGAATAAATTGCAGGGTACTTCAATTGGTTGTTGACGGAGAACCAGATTGACGTTGATCCTTTGGCAGCTCAGCATGTTGGGGCTTAGGGCGGGTGATTGAATGAGCTATGTGGCATTGGGTTTGGATATCAAGATTGAGCCGCCCGATGTGTTTTCAATTGAGCTTGCAATGGCCTATCAACAATTACTAATTAGAGGGAGTTCGACTTAAAACACCTTTCCTCCAGTCATGCTTGATGCAGCATGGACGTGTTGCTTTTGTTGGCTGGTTTTTGGTGACTAGTTGGAAAGTCAAGCTGTAGACCAAAGTGGTATTAATATTCCTTCTCTTGCACAGATGTAGTCAGCGAGGTGTTGAAGGTGATTGTCCCCTACTAGTTACAGCATATTGAATATAAGGTGAGTGTAGGGGCGGGTGAGCCGCCAAGCAGAGGCTTTCTGGGTCCAAAGATGGATCTCTCTGAGGTTGAGGGGCTGAAGCAGATGGTCAAATCGTTGATGAATCTTGGATGTTTGGCTTTAAGTCAGATTTTGAATGATTTTGATTCCATTTGCAGGGCAACCACTAGCAAAAGGCTGTTTCAAAACTGACCTTTGCGTTGCTATGTTGGGAGCACAGGTTAATTCTCTTCGGAATCTGTTCTGTCAGAGAGCATTGCGACAGTTTAGGAGGGTTGCAGCCACTTCCCATTTTCCTGTCACAT